GAATTTGGGTCAGCGAGAGTCCAGACCTGGGGCTACTGGGATGTAGCACAGCCAGAATGCCATTCAAACCTCTGCTGTCCTTCCTGTCGTGTGGGTTAGGCCTCAGGGCCCTCGCCTTCCCACCTCCACCTGGAAAGCCACCCCACCCCACCCCAGGCTGCCCTCTGCCCCTCCCAGCCAGAGGTGGCCCTAGGGCTATTTGCATCACCTCCATCCGGGTGCCCAGGTGGGTGCGTAGCACTGTTGACTGCCTTCCTTACTGACTCTGACTCTGGCCCGAAGTGCCTTTCCAGGGGGTCCCCCTACAATGTAGTCAAGTTCGACCTCATGGAAATGGTCTTTGGAATCACAGCTGAGCCTTGATCCTGGGTAAGGATTCGATCTCTGTCTCCCCCATATACCTAGTACAGAGCACCCATTCATTCGGTCAGCTGTTATTCAGCCAAGTGCCAGGGCCCAGGCTAGGTGCCAGGGGCACAGATCTGCTGACTTGAGGGTGTGACGTGTCTGTGTTTTTGAGCACGTGTTTTGTGGGCATCACCTGCACGCACACACAGCGTGAGCATCTCTGTCATATGTGAACTCTGGTCTTTGAGGCAGTGACAGTGTGTAATCCTGCCGGGACTCTGGGCACACCTGGTTGATTCATTCTGCAAGTGTTTAACAGACACCCACTAAGGAAGTACCAGGCTCTGACCCCAAAGAAAAATGACCCAAGGTCTCTGTCCTCGGGAAGTGCCGTCTTGGGGGCTGTCGCAGTGCGGACTGGTGGGGGCAGAGGCCGGCAGGGCTGGGGGTGGTCAGAAACGTGGTCCTGGAGACACGGGGAAGAGTGGGGAAGGGTGTTCCTGCCCAGCTGTGAGGATGATCTCCAGTATCCCCTTCAGCCCAGTGATCTGGGGCTTGGGACAGGCCTCCCCAGCCATTTTCATGCCCTAAAGCAGCCCCGAGGGCCGACAGAACCGGAGCTCCAGGTGGTGACCCATGGGCCCCGACTGCTGGGGGCTGGGAGAGAATACAGGGAATGAAAATGAAGCATGTTGGCTGGAGGACCTGCCTGGGCTGCAGACCTTTCTGAGAGGCGAACTTGGGGACCAGGCACCAGAACACAGCACCTGGAAAGTAGAACCCCATGATCCAGACCAGAGAAGCGGGATCACGGCACTTAGAGGAGGAAGATGGAGCAGCAGACCTAGAATGTGGGCCTTCTAGAACCTGGAACACTCAAGTGGGCCGGAAGCTGGAAGATCCAGTCTGTGCCCCCGGTGGTCAGTGGGGGAAACTGAGGTCCAGCAGGAACAGGGAGGCCTTGAGCATTGGTGAGCTGCAGTGGCACGCACGTGGTCTCTGCTGAGCCAGGACCTCCCCACAGCTCGCTCCTGCCTAACCTTGGGCAAGTCCTGTCCCCTCTCCAAACCTCAGTTTCCCCTCTGTGAAATGGTGACGTGACGGTGGGACAAGATGGAGCACCTCACCTGGTGCTCAGGCTGTCCCGGCAAGCTAGTGGCATAGCTAAGGCTGGACCCTGGCCACCTGACCTCTGAATGAGTCTGTCCCCTTGTGGTGATGGTCTGGTCACTGCTGTTCCTTTCTCTTCTTCTCACACTCAGTGGGACATTTGGGCACTTGCAGCCCTTTTCGGGAATGCTCTCGGAATCTAGCAGAGGGAAAAGACTAACTAATCAGAGGAGCAAGAACAGACTGGCGGCTCCATATGAAGGAGCAGGGGCCTGGTGCCTACAGCCCTGCATGGTGCCCTG